ACGTAGAAAAAAAGTACACGAGCAGAGAGCGCTCATCAGCTTCCAAAGATGGCGGCCATATGCTCTGCCTGTAGGTACGCATGTTACCAGCAAGAGGCGCTGACGCACAACAACCGATGACACTTTGTAATCAATACAGTACTACTAATAATGGTCATTTTCGAATATCAATAGCGTGAATAAATATCATCACTCAAATTATCTTACTTAAAAAAAAGTTTATTTACTGTTTTATTGCAGGTATGCAGGAATTTATGTTACCATTGCACAGGAACAAAGCTGCCCCTAATAGCATTGCTCCATGTGTAACACATGTTAAAACAAAAAGGGAATCTTTATATGAATTAGTAACATTTTTCCCTTTTCACTATTATTATTATTATTATTATTAAAGACAAGTCACCTGCATTATTTTGAAATGATCACTTTCTGCTTTTGTTTTATAATCAATTGAATATCCATCTGACAAAAAAATCATCCCCCTCATGTCATTATTTTAAGTTACTTTTAATGTGTTTATCATATAAACAATAAAAATAAACCAGCCTCTACAAACATGCAATGAAAGGAAGTGTGAAGTATCACAGCTGTTTTATTTTTCTCTCATCAGCTCTGACACGAATGTGCAGCTTCATTTCATTCACATTAAAAACAGGAAACAGGAAAATATATAAATACAACTTATTCAAGTTGCTCTGCCTGATTTTAAGTTGCCGCCACTTCAATCATAAAAACAAGGTGACTAAAATGTGGTCTTTTGGAAACTCTTTCCTTGTCAATGAAGTATTCTGTCCTAAGTCCTGTTAGTCACACTTGTCAGGACTTAGCAGCAGCTACACATTCATCGTTACACTATAAATAGGAGGGTCTTCCTCATTCTTTTCTCTGATAAATATAGGAAAATAATCTACTCCTCATCCTCTGTAGTGATTAACAGTCCTTGTAGTCGAGCTATTGTGGTGCTGTTGGTTGGTGCATTTGTGAAAACAGTCCCTGTAAACAAAGGAGTTCCTTTCAAGACGTGTCGGATCACAGTGCAGGAGCCTGAAACCTCGATGTGAAAACCTAAATGCCTCATCTCTTTCTGTTTGTCCTCTGATTGTGAAGGAGACTCTCTTAATGGAGACGCAAAGAACTGTGGGGATCAGAAAGGTAAAGAGTTACAAGAATCTCTAATCCACTGATGTTTTACTTCATTGCCTTATAGACATTGTAAGTTGGAAGTAGAGACAATACTCACTGCTGTTCCTGTGTTGGGGTCGATGAAATCGGCCCAGTAACCTGCTGTCCACAGAGCGAGGCACATCTCCTTTGCTCCACTCACAAACTGTCAGGGAGAGAAGAAAAACCATCAGCCAAAACTGTTGCTTCATACAATAAAATATGTTTTAGCTAACGTTAGGGCAGACTAACTGTGTTAAGAAGCTGATCTGAATCTGGCTGTGCAACCTCCTCACTGCTGCTTTGTCTGTGTGTCACTGTGACCACAGTGATGGAAGAGGCAGGAGCTGAGGGGAACATCATCTCCAGATCTGAAAGGGACAGGAAACAGATGCTCATGTTGGAATTACATGTTAACTCATGTTAACAGTAGCTAAATCATTTCTTACCTTTTCTCAGCAACTCGGGGCAGGAGTTTATAGAACAGTCTGTCTCTGTCTTTGTCTCTGTCTGTAATTCTGTCGGTGTCTCTGTGTGGATAAAGTACTGCTCTGCTTTGTGGACTTTCATGAATACGGGACTCGGTTTACCCTGGAAAATAACAGTTATCATGCCAAAGTTACAAACCAGAAACTAGAGAAATGTACTTAATTTTAAACAAATGTTTCTTTTGCTTCTGTAAAATGTGTGATCCTTACTTTGCTCCACTTCCAAGGTAATTTAATCTGTTTTCTTTAACTTTCTTTCACTTTTATTAACCTAAATTTGAAAGGTTCTGGATTTTTATTTTAAAATCTCTTAATGTAAGGCAATGGTGGTTTGGTGGTTAAAGTCTGGATGGTTTCAGGTTTGAATCCACAATCTGTTGCCACTGCAGTGGTGTGTCGTGTCACATAGACAAGTAGTTCACTTTCACTTCACTTGATACTCTCTGAGTAGGTTGATGCTAGTGTCCATAATGTTTGTATCTTTAGCTTAAACGTATGTATTTAGTAACTGTAAACTTTTATTGTCTAATGTGTTACAACAATGTGAAGAAAATACGTCATCATATAACACAAAGACATCAATATGCATTTACTCTCAGGGTTATTGAATTTGTGTTCAACATACTGGGGCATTAAAGCATGAGTCGGGGTACTTAGAGAGAGTAAACCACAAGAAGAATTCAAATCTGACCTGGAACTCATTGACAAACTGGGCCAGTATAAATTGATGTCTTTCTGTGCTGCTTGGTGCGGTCAGTACATCAGGTACAGTCCTCTGAACCGGATTTGTTTTCTGTTCTGCCACTCCCTCCAAGTGACAGTCGAAGCCAACATTTCCGGGTAACTGGAAACGTTGGTCCTGAGGTCCAAATGGTCCCATGTTCTCATCAGGCCACACTGTCCTGGGCCCTAGAAAACAGCCAAGAGACGAGTCAGCATGGAGTGGACTGTAGACATGGGTAAATATAATCCTCAGAAAATCTAACCTGAGTCCATGGTTGATACAGTAACATAGGGTTCATCTGAGCTGGCAGCAGAGAAGGGTCTGGACCTTCCAGCCCTGAGACCAACTAATACATGACGACGTGCTGAGTGAGATAAGACAGACCTGGTCCGAGCACAAAGAACCTGCACAGTCACAGACACCGTTTTAAAACTACAAATTATACTAATAAAATGTAATGTTTGAGCTCCTAAAGTACAAAAATCTAAATCTAAAGTCAGTTGTGAAAATGACTTACGCCCCCGGACATTGCGTCTTGTCTGGTTTATTTCTTTGTCACCTGGTAAATCAACAACAAAGAAAGAACAACAGTTTGGCATTAATGTACTATGATATGATCGTCACTGCTAGTGTATTCTATTATATCTATAGATTATCTAAATGTATTGTAATGTCTTGCAAGTGCGCGAGTGTTATTAGGCTATATTTAGTGGCTTTAACCTGCAGTTTTCTTGTTGAAACACAGTTGTTATCCATACTTGAAAAACATCTGATCAACAACCTTGAGTTTAGCCTTTGCTAGCCTCGTGTCTATTAGCCTGACGTGATGGGTAAACGCAGAGCCTGAAGCTTACGGAGGCAACATGCTCGAACAAAGAGTAAATGACTTTCCAAAGGTTTTTTGAAATTTCAACACAAAGGACCTAAGGACATCAAGCTAAGCTAAACATCCAAGTTAGGTGCTAATGTTAGCGGTTTTAGCTCCAGGTCAGCTGACGGCAGACTACTACATACTTTATCTTTTTTATAAATAACTTCCCCTTCAATAACATTTAAAGAAGTAAACATTGCACTGTTCAAATCACACTGTCAGCAATATAACGATCTGTTTTTTGTAGGTAAAAGAACATAATGTTCATACCTTCCAAGTCGCACGTACGATATTTCGTGATACACGCTACGGCAAGAGATCAGGGAAAAACAACTCGCTATAATGAGTTCGATGGCGAATCGTTTATTTAGATTGTATGACGCAATAACGCAAATAAAAGCGTATTAATGTACTTTTAAATATTTAATCTGAACGATATGAGTATGTACAACTATTAATCTAAACTGAAAAATGCAAAGAAACAAAACAGCGCGTATTAAAACTGTAATTTTCTTGTTTGCCGCAAGATGGCAGTAAGTGACTAGGAAATGTCAGGATTTCATGATCACTGAGGAAGCTTGCTGTAGTAGTAATATATTAACATTCCCTATTGCTTATATTAATATAAACATCAGTAATTAGTCATATGGAATCAATTTTAATTTAATCTCTATTTTATCACTTTGGCATAGGGTGTTTATATTTTTCTTTGTCTATTTAAGCACCTGCAAAAAGTGTTTTGGTTTCAAAGTGTCCTTGCAGATAACAATGAGTAAAGACGTTGCTGCCATGCACAACTCAGGGCCCTGGAAATTATTCTCGTCTGATAAAATAGTCTCTTTAAGTTTGCAGCATTTAAAGAACCTGTTCACTGCACTCTTAACAAAAAAAAGTGTCTATAAAGCATTTACTCTCACCCACACAAAAAAACTCATATTAAATATTAAATTACATTTGCATGTCTTGCAGGTTTATCTAGGAGATGAGCATCTTTTTTGCCCTGTGAACTAAGATTCGTGATTATCTCTCTGGACTGTGGCATGGACAGATGAAACTGAGTAAAACAAGCTGATCAACGCTATCTCCTCAGACGATGACTTGCAGAGGGAGTTTTACTGAGGGCAACACCTCTGTGGGTGGAAATGGAATCCCTGTGAAACACACAGACCCACATGGATGCAGAAGCAGTATGAAGCCTGGCTCACCTACAGGTGAAACGTAACAAAGAAAAGGTCAAATACTAAATGTCAAAGTCACGTGACAGCAACAACTGCACTCACACTGAAGAATCCCTTCACTGTTCTGACGACAATTTTAACCTAATTCTTATCACAGGATCTTACTGAACACAAACTCATCAGATGACAGGATGCAAACATTATTCTTGTTAACCTGAGTACTTGCTGAATACTTGATGTCAATGTCAGTGGCAGACTTTTAGCATTGGAATGATAAAATAAAGAATTGAACATAAGAACATGTAAAAGTTCATAGACAAAATAATAAACTGTAATCACAAAAATTTAAAAAAAAATCTGATTCATTGTTCCCTCCATCAGTCACTTCAAATGAATGACTGACTGGCTGATGTTGGCTTTGAGGACTTCTGGTTTAAATTTACTTCAGTGACACAGACTGGCCACCAATTTTTAAAAAACTTTTAAAATAAAATTTTATTTATATTCTTGATTTGAAAACTGTCTCAAAATTACAGTACAGAGGTCCATTTGAATCAACAGTGATAGCAAGTATCTGTAGGTGGCGCTAATCACACACTGTAAATGTTTCTAAAACTGCTGTCAGTGCTGCTGAACTGTGCAATTAGGCCTTTTCCCTGCTGTAAGCCTCAGGGCTGCAGACACTAATGAGGCAGCAAAAAGAGAGGGAGAGAGGGTGTGTGTGTGTGTGTGTGTATAATTATGTCGAGAAGGCCTCAGGGCGCAGCTGCATCACCCACACCAGACGATACTCCACCACTGCAGAGCTGATCTTCATCATTGTTCCTTCACCTTGCCTTTTGTTTCACCTAGAAAACCTCAGTGTGTCTGCAGCAGCCAAGGACACATTCATATTCCGACAAACTCTGTAATTACCAGGGATATTATTACTGCACTCACATAACGTGATTTTACGTATTTTTTCATGTGATGAATGTAAACATCCCAGCAGGCTGTGCAGCATTACAACAGAGGTGATGGATGCTGCAGCTATAAATACAAATATTATCTCAGGTCTATTTCTGTGTAAGTTTCTAAAACTGACTGTTAAAGGCAAAAGATATTCTAAAAAGCAACGTTCACACTCTCCAGTGTCCCCTGTGTATCCAGTGTCACACATTAAGCTCCTAAATGATTCAATCTGGGCCAGCTAAAGTCTACAATAAGTCAAGAACAGTTAGGTTTCTTTATGTCAATGTTACTTTCCCAAATCAAAGTCCATTGACAGAATTACAACTTTCAGTACGTCAAGGTTTCACAGTAATTGAAGGTCAGTGGCTGCCCCGAATTACAACTTTCAGTACGTCAAGGTTTCACAGTAATTGAAGGTCAGTGGCTGCCCCCCCTGGGGGCATTCCGGTAATGGTTTAATAATAATAATAATAATAATAAACTTGAACTATATTGATCCTTCACTAAAAGGAAGTCTTTATGTCTCAGGTCATTTTCGTTATTAAAAATATAGGTAAAAAATCTTTGTTCTGTTTATTTAACAAAACATTTTTTTTCTTGCTTTGAGGAAACACAAACATGTACTGAACAGACAGTTTATTCATACAACAGGATGAATTCCAGTGTAGGTGTGTGTTGGGTTTAAGGTAAATCAGAATGGTCAGGATGAAACCAGTGAGTGAAGGTGTTTGCACAAATGTGATACTGCTAGGGTTCACCAGCTCATGTATGAAAGAACGTTCCAATGCCTATTGGACCACAAAGGATCAAATGAGTTGAGGTGATACAAAATAATTTGGTCTATAAAACCTGACCAAACTCATTTACAGAACACATGTCAGTGCTTCATATAACCACACCTCATAAAAATGTATTCTCTCTATCACTCACACACTGTGAACAATTGGATTACTAACAAGAGTACAAATAATGTGTGTGTGTGTGTGTGCGTGTCCTCATCATGTTTCAGGGGACACAGGCAGAGCAGGATGACATTTGTGGAGACACGTAAAGCCCCAGCTCTGTCTGTATGGATTACAGCAGCAGAGCAGAGAGTGTAAAAATACCCTGCTGCATGTGTCACTGTGACAAACACACAAAATAACAAGAGACAACTGGACTGGAGTGAGCGCAGTAATGACCTGTGTGAATTTTTATCAGCCTGAGGTGAACAGTTGAATGTATTTTTGTGATTTCTGATTTTCTGAAGTCCAGACACAGTCTAAAAAACCAGGTA